AATAATGTCTAGATCCACGAAAGTTCGGGATTTTAAATATCCGACATGATTCCACGCCTATCTCGTCGGCGGGGGGGGGGGAGTCATTATGGAGACAAGATTAAAGGCAAGATTATTTAAGCTCAGGTACGGAAGAATTAATTTGTTACTTTTTGCTACGAAACCTCTTTAAACCTCTTTTTTCCCCTTTCTTATAGGTAAAATTAATTTTATATTACATTTCGCCGGAAGAAATATCCACGATAGGAGACAAAATTAAATATTCACTGCGCGAAAACGTCGCCAATTTGAAAGTCTGTTGCTACTTGACCTTTCTTAGATTAAATCAACTTTGCGTTAATGTCCATTGATGGAGAAATGATAAATGCGTAATAAAAAAAAAAAACAAATGATTTTTATACAATAATTTTTGCCATCATACGCATTTTTCGCACATATGTATTGCAAATCAATGAAGATCATTAGTATTCACAAACATATGTATTTACAAATCAATGAAAATCATTCGATAATATTCACGGCATGGAGTGTCAAGTAGGAATTAACAGAAAACGTTAAATGTACGCATGTGAATCTTTTCGAAATGTCGAAGATTAGTCTGATGCTGAAGACTACCATCTGGACATTTCTTTTATTTTTAATAAGTACTTAGATAATTATTTTTATTAATCACTGGCGTGAATCATTCGTTGATCATTCGCGTATACGATATGTACGAAAATAAACAGAGTATTATGTAACGGTGCCGCACGATTTGGAAGTCAAAGTCGAAATTCTATCGCAAAGAAAACGAGTCGCGGAAGAGAGCCGGCGAGCAGCCCTGCGTTTTCGCGGGACTTTCTCAGTCTTTATCATACGCGTCATTTGTACGAATAGAAAAATTAAAAGAACACACCGTCCGACTCACTGATGATCATCGATCCGCGTAAACTACAGCCGAAAGTAAAGTGAGAGATCGCGGCACGTCTCGCGATAAGACACAAATGTAAGACGCGGGGAGTCGTGTTCGAAAGATTTAAGGACTCACAACGCATGTTTCTGCCATGTACGACCGCAAAATATACGTGCGTTTTTTTTGAATGCCACCATATTTTGCTCGCATCGATGTGAAAAAAATCTTTGCATTTTGCATCAATTGTCCGCCGCGTTCGATACGCGGGAATATATATCGGGAATGCCGAGAAATAATCTGAATCCTCCTCGATTTCTCATGTCCACAGTGATTATAATTTGAGGCTAAAGGAATATTTTGCGAAGAAACCATGTATAAAAGCTGCAAAAAATGTTTAGACACCTTACGCAATTTGAAATCGCATGAGATACTCGTTGCTCAAAACATTTTTCAAACTCAAATTACAAGTTGAAATTGTGACTTGGAACTCCTCGAAGTTTGATTCCAGTGCTTTCAACTTGGATTTGAATTTAGCTCAATTTTAATCTTATTATTAATTTAATTTGAGATCTTGAGCATTTGAGAAAAGAAAAGTCTAAATTTTCAATTATAATTTTGACTCTTAATTTTTCAAATTGTTGAGTCACTCAAAATACAATCGTAGCACTTGTAAGTAGTTCAAACCCAAATTCTTGAATTCGCGAATCTATCGAGATTCGATCGTGGATTGTTATTAGCTCGTTATAGCGGGTAAATATATTCCATAAATCGCGGAGGCAAACTTCATCTTTGGAATGTCAGAGGCACGAGGCCAATAACAAACTCGGCAAAAAACGAACTTCACGATCGATTATTTTCGGCGTTCTCGATATATTGCAACGAATAGAATCATCCTTTGCACGAGATCGCGATTCTGATCGAAAAAGAAATATTGTGACAAAATAAAATATTAAGAACGAACGAAAAGCGCGATGGGTAGGATTAATATGTATATCTCAAGTCGCTTAAATTATTTTGTATATCCTGCGAAACGGACGCAGACCAGTCTATAAACCTGAGTCAAGGATCAAATCTTATGTAGAGTATCGTACAGGAAAATCGACTTTCCGGTGTCTGTTGTGTGTACGAGCTTGTACCTCCGGCTGGCCATCTTGTCGATGAAGCTCTTTGTCTCTGCCTCACTGTGATGGGGATTCCAACGTATCGACAGTATAGATATTCTTATGATGTCCCATGGGATGGTGTCGAGTACCTGCGATAATTTTCAATTGCCCTTAGGACAAACTCTTGCTTGCTACCGGCTATTTTTAACTCTTCGATCGATCCGCAATCACATAAAACTTTTATATGAGCGCGAAGCTGTCATTTTATAAACAAAAAGATCGATAAATATTTTTGATGTATACATAATAAAAATAATAAAATCATAAAACTTTGTTTCTAAAAATAAAAAATGTGACAAAAATATAAATATAAGTAAAATAAATAAAAAAGAGCCATTTTTATATTATTTTTATACTATAATATTATTTTTATACTATAATATATAAATATAGCTCATAAAGTTCTGAATTAGAAAAATGATTAATTAAACAAATATTTTAATGATCATTAGATTATTATTAAACTTATAGTATTACTTGGCCATCGGGAGCATCGGGACTGTCCAGACTTAGATAATCTAAGATCGTGGCGTTGTACGCCAGCAGCACGCTATAAAGTGGAAAGCACTTGAGCCTAGTGGTAGGAAAACCGTCGTCCGACGACACGAGGCTATTAGGACCATCGCCTAGTTTGGTGACCTGAACCTCCGACTCCTGGTGGTACTTGATCTGCAATGTCGGTCGCGGGCGTGAGACACATATTCTTGCATTCGGTTCACTTTATCCTCAACAATTCCTCTTCTTTCTCACCTCTTTGGTATCCTTGTCTGTGCTGAGACAGGCGTGCAGTACTCTCGACCGTGAATGTCTACTGCTTCGCTGTGCCTCGAAGAAGCTCTTGGGCTCGGTGAGTATCAAAACACCACGCCAGCTCAAATTGGACTCTAGCCAAGCGGTACTGGAAATCGCACCTATCTGAAAGAACAATTGATTGATACCTAGTGATCACTAGTGTGACTAGTGACAGATTATGGGCCCTAATCACGACGGAAGGCAAATTGACGGTCAGCCTAATTTTCGTTTCCATCGTTTCCATCTAACAACTAGCTGGGAAATGAACTAGAAAGAACCTAGAGAGATACCAAAGCTCATCAATCTCGTTCATCTATTTTTACAACTAGTTGCGTGTCGATGGCGATTCGCTACTTTCGCGTGTTTCGCTAATATTACGATGCATTATCGCGAGCGATGAAGAATCGTTAATCGTGCGGTAGTATCTAAAATGTACTTTCAAGATTTTCAAGACTGAGGCACCGCTATAGTAATAATAAGCTCTAATTTCGAATCTAAAAGATTAAATACGAAAAATAAGGTGCAATTTTCATTTTAAAAAAATTCATCTTCATTAATTTTTTAACAAAAAAATATACTCGTAAATTTTCGAATTATTTTATCATATCTGACACACACACACACACACACACACACGCGCGCGCGCGCTTTCAGAAATTTACAAAAGCGTAACATCAATTTTATATGTAAAATTAATTTACAAATTTTAATCTTTTAAATTACCGTAATTAATAAGCTTCAAGAGGATATTTCGAAAAATCGTGAAAAATCTAATTAATCAATTTTAATTTCTAATAACAAGAATTCGTATTTTCCTAGAGAAAATTTCATGCAAGATCACTTATCATCACTTATCTAACTTTTTAATTATAAATATCGTAATTATTAAAGCTAAAACTAGAATTCTAAATAACATTCGAAGTGAAGCGAACTGCAAAATACGGTTATTTAATTATATCCCAGAAATTTAATTCTCCATCATCTTTAGCCTCTCTTCTATTTTGAAAAATATCGATAATACGACCTTTTAATTAATAAATTAATAAAAGATTATCCGGGAATTAACCGAGGATTCTGTTAGTAATTAACATAATTTAGAACATCCCGTGTGATATACAAACCATTTTTCATCGCGAGTATAAACCGTGAGTTTCGCGAATAAAGGGAAATTACATTGTCACATTGGAAGAATGGGCTCTCAATGCGCGCGACGATAAGACACGTGGCACATTAATCATCTCAAAACGAAAGGTGTCTCACCCTGCTGATGTACTCCGCGTAGATGCCCTCGCGTTTTCCTTGCGACAAGGTAGCCACGTACTTCTCCTCCGACGTCTGATTGGCGTTCAACGGGTCCTGATGAGTCGTTGGCTTCAAATGCACCTGCCGTATGTACGCGACCAATTGCGGATTGTCCATCGAGACGCTATCGAGCACATAGTCCCTGGTCATGTTCGCGTCGAACGCCTGTCTCCTGTAACGGAAACATCCGCTTTAAGCTACACCAGTGGTGTTCAATCTTGCATAATCTGGAGCTCGATCGTGTAATCCTCCTGTCAGGAGAGTAAAAAAGAGAGGGGGGGGGGGGGAGGAGGGGCGGGGGAGAGAGCATAAATTTACACGTTTAGCTCTTCGCAATTTGATCGCTTCTACGGCGAATCGGGGAGGGGGTTGCAGCGCAGAACGTTGGGATTTCATTATACGAAATACACGCGAGATTCGGAATAATTAAAAATAAAAAACTTTAGAGCAATTTTTTAACGAGGCTGCATGTGGTGTCAAATATTTCGTAAAAGTTTCAAACAGAACTTTCAGATTCATACGTATCTCTCAGCCGAAAATTAAAAAAGCAAAAGAAATATTTCTAATAACATACAAAAGAAGACAAATTTTTTTAATAATATCGAAATACTGACTGAAAATTCATATTTTTCCTATATTTACAAAATTCAATTTAACTTCGAGCAAGTAAATAAAGACAAAATTGACATCTTACCTCAGAGCTGCGGCCTCACTCCAGACAAGGAGCAAAGCCATGGCGGTGCTAAAGGCAGCAAGAAAGGCCAAGCAGGGTGCCACTCTCCTCCACCAGGTTCTTTTATAACTGGCAAACGACGTGCCGGTAAGGGTGGGTCCAACAGGCGGTGGCAGATTTCCATTTGATGAAGGTACTCCTGCAGGAGCCATTCTGTGAAAACACAATGACCGTGTAAACACGTGTTGCATGTAAATAATGAAGATGAAACTCTCTATAGGCTCTATAAGCTCCTGCCTTGACAACTCTTTGACACATTTTATAATTTCACTGTCGTATTTTCGAAGGTATTTTTAATCCCGAAATATTCGTCAGCGGCAAGTAAACAAGGACCTTTACGATCTCTGGATAGCATTGAAAATTCAATGGAAAACCAATATTTCAGTTAATGAGTCAATCTACTGAAATCATCATAGCAAAAAAAAATGCATTATCCCAAGTTGGCTATTAGAGCTTCTCAAATAAGAATTTAGATGCGTTATTTTCAGGTTAAATTTAATTCAATAATACCTATGTATTTATGTAATAACCAGTTAAAGTCATTTTTTTATTAAATAATAAGTTAAATTGACTTATCCATTTCTACTAATGTCTATTAATTTTAATATGTTTACTTACTCTTTCTCTTTTTCTAATTCATAAAGCTAGTAAAAAAATAAAAAGTTAAATCAAGATTAAAGATAATGTATATTGATAAAAATATATATTGAATATTTCGAAAAATATGTTAATCTAAAAATGGCGGATATTCTTACTTAAAGAATGCTAGTTAATATTACATTTTCATTTCAAATAATTACATTCATAATATTTTTATTTCGCAGTTTTTATTTTAATCAAAATAATTTAATTACTGAAATATATTTATCGATCGATTACATGTAGTGGAATAATTAAAAGTTACTTCACGACGTTCAAATTCTTACTTGAGAAACTGTAGATTTTGGTAGCTGATTTTTGTAGCTGAACTACTTTTAAGTACACTCGTACTGAAAATGAAACAGGTGTATTTGAAGTTTGAATTTGAAAAACGAGACAGGAAGTTTTGTCGTGCAATCCAGTGCAGGAACAGAAAACAAACCTATCGTTAGAGTGATATATTACATTTAATCAATTATGTGAGTCAGTCCCCACTAATATCATTTGCTCTGCGATTAATATTCAGCAAATAGGAAATGCAGGAAATGTAATGAGGATACCTTGCACAGATACCAAAATTTATATATAATATATATAATTATATATAATTGGTGATATTGATGTATAGCTTGAAAGAAGTACATATAAAAAATTTAAAGATTTCTTTCAGTTAACTTTCAGTAAAAAGCTTCCTTTGAAAAAAGAACTGGACGTGATGCGAATAAAAGAAACTGTAATGAAAAGAAGACGTATAAATCTTCTAGGACACTGTAAACGCGTGCAGCAATGCGTGGAGGTATACACATGAGTCACCCTGCTGCACTTTCTAACCAGCATTTTTTCAGTCACGTTCAAGTGAATGCACGCCTAAGGATTCAAGACAAAGGAAGACCCTCACAAAGATCGGATTATCATTCGTTCATCATTTACGCACGTCGATCGCCGCGGTAGTAATATGCTTTTGTGCTTTATTTTCCAAGTCCATAAATAATTGAATATTATGTACGCTTTTAAAAAAACGTCTGGAACGTACTCCATTTAAACAAAATAGATATTATATCACGCGCGTTGTTTTTACGCCAAGTGAGAAAGCATTCTAATTCCAGCAATAGGCAGCTGCGAATCGGTGGTATCTCCTCGCATCAGAATTTACAGAAATAGTTTCTCAGCGTACGCAAGCCGGATAAGTCTGCGTGTGTTACGCTATGCGGGACAATGTCTGCTCCGTTATTTGTCTCACACTATTAAAGCGAAGTTTGCGGTGTTTCTTCGGTGTACGACTAACTTCGCGTCACTTCGTGCACTTCGATGCAAGATTTCGCCGAGATTAATTCGCTGAGATTAAACTTTTAGCGAAGATAAAGCAAGGCAGATAGTGCGCAAGTTCGTCAAATTTGCTAATCTAAATCGCGATGGGTCCCCTGCGACACATTTCGCTTCGTAAAACTCCTGCTCTATCCTCGATTAATCAGTTTAGTAGAGTCAATGCCCTCGCGTAAAGATCGTCGAAATGTCAATAGTTTTCGAATTATAGAAAACAAACAAGCTTTCAAACATAAGGACGGCGTTTCGGGAGAGCGCGAAGAGACAACTTTCCTCGCACTCAATCTCGAGTAAACCTTGCCTTAACGAAACTTTCATCGTATCCTGAATTTTTCATACGCGTTTAAAGTTCGAAAGTTCAAAAGTTTGCGTAAAAAACGTACGGTGTTCAATCGGATCATCGTCGCAGGGGAAAAATCGCTTCGGAACGCCGCAAATAAGGCCGCTCACGGAATCGCCCTTGGCACACCTTTTTATATTTTTTATAATCCGCACGTCGCCGAACGCATTCCCGGTTCATCGCATCGCATTCACTCACTTCGCTTCCATCGGGCTTCCGCTCGGGCGTTCGACTCGTAACGTTCCTTATCGAAACTCGGGGACCATTTAGGTACCCTCGTCTGCCTGCGACATTCACCACCGTCGACGACGTTTCTCGCTCACGTGTGAGAGCGCACGTCATCCCTCGCGCGCGCGCGCGCGAGTCGAGTTCGGGGACCAGAGATCGCGACTTTTTCTTGCACCGATAACGTTGTCGTCACTCTCCACAATGCGATACACGGCACGCTGATACGCGCGAATCAGCTTCGCAAACGTCGCGTCTCGCGTGGCCACAATATTTGGCAGCGCCGGCTAACGCCGTGTGTCACGTGGGCTCGACCTTCGACGTGTTGTCGTTGTGTTGTGTCGTCGCCGTCGTTGGTGTTGTATTGGGTCGCGTCTCGTGTCAGATCGTTCCCGTGCCCGTTCCGCTCCTCTCCCCCTCCGAGAGACGCGCTGCAACGCAAAGATCTCTCTCTCTCTCTCT